GCTGAGAGCCACGACTGCAAAGGACAGCTGCAAAGGGAAGGAATTCATCACAGGTCACCTGCCACCCGCCCTGTGCTGACCAGGATGAAGGGCAGGGAGAGCTGCATCAGGGCAGGTGGAGGGGCTGCCCAGGCCTCCCTGGGAAATGGCTCTGTCCTTAGAAACCTCCATCTCCCCGCAGCTAAAGGAGCCATGATAATGCTCTGCTGTCCCAGTGTTGCCCCCAAAGCCAAAATAAGACCACATGCAAAGCACACGTAATGGTCACTTCTCTGTCTACCTTAACTGATCCCGGGAGAGAAGGCCAAGAAAGCTGTTGTCTCTGCTCTAGAGACATCAAGCGTAGTGAGGAGACAAGAAAGGAGACTCCCCGACTGTCAGCAGGAAATCTTCACAGTGAAACAGCATGGAGAGGCTGTAGGGAGCTCAGCGTCACAGAGAGTGGATTCTGCAGGGCAAAAGGGGCTAGAAAGTTCTTGTGTATGAAATAAGCTTTGCTTCACCATCCTCAGGGACCTCATGGTCTAAGATGGCTGCCTGAGCTCCAGCTATCATTTTCCATACTCTGTACAGCAAGCAGAGTGACAAGAAGGAGGTGCCCCTTCTTCTTTGGTCCAGTGAGCCAGAACTTATTAGATAGCTTCATTTAGAGTGGTCTGAGGGACTTTGGTGGGGCATTTCATGGGCAGTTAGCCACATGTCTGGGGCTCTGGGGAGAGGACTAAGGTGGAGATTTGTCTTCGAAGCTCGGGCAGTTCTTCCAAGGGAGCAGGCACAGTGAGGACAGAACTCACCGTGCCTTGAACCAACAGTGAGCAGCAGAGCTGAAGCCCATGATGAAGGAAAGAAAGGAGTACACAGGGTCAAGGAGAAACTGCCCATAATAAAAGGAAGCTCCTCGGGAGCAAAGTCAGGGAAAATGACAGGCGAGGAAGCTTCAAGAATCCACCTCTTCGTGCCAGGCGTGAGGCTGAAGCAGGAAGATCTCTGAGTTTTGGGCCAGCCTAGGCTACATAGTGAGTTCAATGCCAGCCTGAAACACATAGTGAGACCTTGTGTCAAAAAACAAAGAAACAAACAAGCAATCCACTCCCTTCCTCAACAACCACTAAGCTGGAAAAACTGAATAGTCAGCTTTCAAAAAAAATTCTGGAATCTAATTTTAAAAACATGTAGCAGCCAGAGGTGCACCTGATGAGGGAAGAGTCCGCTAAACTTCAGTGGTGTGGCAGCATCGTTGCTTACCTGGCTGCCATCCCGCTGCCTGCTGGGTCAGTAGCAGCCCAGGAGATGACGGCTTCTGGCTATGGCTTCTTCGTCTGAGGGTTGGCACTACAGACCCTGTTTGCAAATCACTGTGTTTGTGCTTTTTCCTTTTCTTGTGCAATGCTGGGGATCAAACCCAGGGCTAGGTGAGCACTCTGCCACTGAGCTAAGTCCCTGCTCTGTGTGTACTACTGTCCTGCCCAGGCTGGCCTTGAACTCTCGAACTCCTGCCTCTGCCATGCCTGGCTTTTCTTCTTCTTCAAAAGCATTCACAGACATACACTACCCACGGTGATGGCAGGTGGCTCAGCACCAGACAGAAGAAACCCCCAGAAGGAGGAGGCTGGGAAGGAAGAGGTTGGGGGACTGAGGGCTGTGAAGGGCTGCAGAGGTGCTGGGAATCCAAATGCACACATCCACGGCCAGGCACAGCTGGGAACAGACCTACAAAGACCCTAGGTCTACACCTCTGGCTGATCTTGGGAATGTGGAGATCGGGATCGGGAGGTAGTCTCAGGCTCCAGTAAGCATCAGATGAGTTCTGAGGTCAGAGCTGGTCTGCAAGGGCAGGCCTGTTTTGCTGTGTTTTCGGTACAGAGTCTTCAGAGGTTGAAGGAAATCAGTGTCACCTCAGAGACTGAGCACAGAGACAACAGGACAGAGACCTTGGTGTCTACAGCCAGTAAAGAATACAGCCTACAAAAACAAGGGTGGAAATGACACCAACAGACGGATGCTGAGTCCTTCTCAAGGCCTATCAGGAAACAGGAGAGGAGGGAACATTTCTCTGAACTGCTTTTACTCACATTTCTGACACCAAATGTGCGTGGCTTTTGTTCCACCCCCAAAAGCAATTTTCTGATTCTCTGGACATCAACTGCTGTCTTTCAAGCCCATTCGCTTCCAGCCCCAGATGGCTCAGGGCAAAGGCCTCACAGCACTGTCCCCACATTGCAGCCCGCCGCAAGTCCAGGGCCACCTGTTCTGGATTCAGGGCCTCTGATGACCCCCTGGCCAGGCTTGCTCCCATGCTAAGTGGCTAACAGAGCTCAAGAAAGCTCTTCACTTACTGTTCCCAGTTTATTGCAAAGGACATAACTCAGGAAGAGCCAAGTGGAAGAGACACACAGGGCTACGTGTGGGTGGTTGGGGCGTTGCAGGTTTTCATGCCTGTTCCAGGCTCACCAGCTTCGCAACAACCCAGTGTGTTCGAACTGGAAGCTTTCCAAGCCTGGCCACTTAGGGCAGATTTTATTTTTTATTTTTATTATTATTATTTTTTTGGTAGCAGGGTTCAAACTCAGGACCTTGTGCTTGTGAGGTAGGCTGTATGCCACTGAGCTACATCCCCAGCCCTGGGGAAGGTTTTATTAAAAGGCACCACTGGTTAAGTCACTGGGCGCTAGTGATTTAGGGACTTCCTTGGAGACCAAGCTGCAGGGCTAAAAGTCTCAACCCTGTAATCATGCTGGGTCTTTGGGACTATCTCTCCCTGTTCTGAAACTACATGGCCACCAGTCACCCATTAACATATTAAAGACAATATTGTTTTTATATCATTTTCAGTCAATTGTAATTCATCTCTAATTTGTCAAAGATCATTATTTGGACCATTATTTTATTTACTCAAATGCTGGCCTAGTCCTTGTCCACCTTGGGTTAATTTGCATTTGAAAAGATTTCCCCATACAGCTAAGGACCATTGATTTTCTGACAAGGCTCCAAGACTGTGGAGTGGGAACAAGAGAGTACCTTCCAAACCATACTGCAATACCTGGACAGTCAGGTGGAAAAGAATGAAGTTGGACCTGACCTTGTAGCAGATGTAAGACTTAAAAATGAATCAAATAGGGCCAGGATTTAGCTCAGTGGCACTGCCCCTGCCTTGCAAGGGCAAGGTCCAGAGTTGGATCCTGGTACTGAAAAAAAAATTAAAAATGAACCAACAGCCTAAATGGAAGCGCTAAAGCCAGAAAACTCTTGGAAGAAAACATCGGTGTTAGTCTCTATGACCTTGAACTTGACAATGGAATCATAGATAGGACAGTGAATACATAAGCAACAAAAGAAAAGACAGATGAGCAGGACCTCATCAAAATTAAAGTCTTGCATGTGGCAAAGGACATAAGCCTAAACATAACCTACAGGAGAGCAAATATTTGCAAAATATATACTGATAAAAGCCTAGGATTCTGAATATGCAAAGTGCTCTTACAATTCAACAATACAAAGACACTCAATTGAAAAATGGGCAAAAGATTTTAAAATGGACATTCTTCAAAGAAGGCAACAGCATATGCAAAGATGCTCAAATAATTAGTTATTATGGAGCTGCCAAGAAGACCAGAATGAGCTATGTCCACTCGGATGGCTGTAATAATCAAAACAAAAAATAGTGTTGATGAGGGCGTGGAGAGACCGGAATCCTCACCTTGCTGTGGGAATCCAGACTGGTTTGGCCCCTGTGAAAACTGTTCAATGGCTTGAAAAGTTGCACATTGTATGTTTGTGTGACCCAGTAATCCAGCTTCTAGGTCTGCACCCCTCAAAAATGAAAACAAGTACTCAAATACGCGTTCCTGCATATCCACAGCACCATTATTCATCGCAGCCAGAAGGCAAAAAAGAGCCCAGAAGTCCTTGGAACGGATGAAGGGATGAGCAAATTGTGGTGCATGCACGCGGTGGAATATTAGTCATGAGAAGGAAATGCAGTGGGGCACATGTTACAGTGCAGATGAACCTTGAAAACACGCTAAGCAAAGAAGCCAGACACAAAATGACTCGTATTGTATAATTCCATTTATATGAGATATCCAGAAGCGTTAGGTCCATGGAGACAGATGCAGGAAGGTGTTTAACAGGGGGTTGGGGAGAACCATCTCTGGGTACCACTGCCTTATTTTATTATTTTTGGAGCGATGCAAACGTTTTGGAACTAGACAGAGGCGGTCACTGCACAACACTGTGAATGCACTAAACGGCACTGAATTGCATACTTTATAATGGCTCATTTTAATGTACATTATATGAATTTCACCATAATTAACGGGGAAAAAAGTAAAGCTACGCACACAATGTCAAATTACCGACAATTTCAACCCTAAATCCTGAAATCCCAACCTCCTGGTCCAAGTGTCGGTCAGGTAACCATTTTATTCCTGTCCAGTTTTATCCGGAGCGCCTAGCGGCCCTGAAGCTCCCCAGGGGACGGGCGGATGGGGACATTCTCCCTGGTTGGCGCACCCCAGGCCACGAAGGGTCCCCGGAAGCCGTAAAGCCCGCGGGGCGAGGAGGACGGGACCCCAAACCCCCAGCACAGAGCGCAGAAAGCTAAGGCCCGACCGGCCCGGGGGAGGAAGGCCACGGCGCAGCCAGCGACAGGTGAACGCTGTCGCCGGCGCGACGCGAGGCGACGCAGGCCCGGCCCTTCCGCTCCCGCAGCGCGTCCCCCGCTCCCGTCCGCGCGCCCGGGATCCCGGCGGGGCC